TTTTTTTGGTTTTTTTCTCCGGTACCGGGAACGGAACTCACGACCTTGCGCTTGCCAGGCAGGCGCTTTTGCCGCTGAGCTAAATCCCCAGCCCCTCCGACTAAGAATTATTAATGTAGTTTAGAAATAAAAAGTAAGAGCCTGCTTTAGATAGTTCTCAAAAAAATTACCTTTTGGTTGGGTACAGACACTTTGGCCTGCCTGTACCTTGCAAGAAAGAAGCTCAGAAGGTCTATTTATTCATATACACCACTTTTCATTCCCAGTGAGAATGTGCTTTGTGGCTTGGAATGGCAATATGGAGGTAGTGTCAGATTGCTCTTATGTTTCTTTGGCTGCAAATTCTCCTTGCATTCCAGGGTTGAATGTACAAACTCCTTTTTCTTTTGCTAAAAAACAAGACACTGTAGAAAGAGACCACTTGGTATATTGTTTTTTAGGGAGGGTTTGAAAGTTTTAGCTTTTCACTTGTTCCTAGAGATGTAGATTTGAAAGATTCTAACCTAGAGCAAAGACTTTGAACGTTGTAGGTTATAGAACATAACATAAGCTTTTCAGCTCTTAGAAGAAGTTATGTGTCTGTTGTGGGATGTTTTGTTTTGTTTTTTGACCAGGAATCGAACCCATGACCTCACACTTGCCAGGCAGGTGCTGTGCCACTGAGTTATATCCCTGGCCCCTGTTGTGGGATGTTGATACTGACACAGTCAAGGCCCCTCAGAAATAGCACAAACTCATCTTATTTATTCAATGAGCTTTCAAAGTACCATTGAGGAAGTGATTTCTTATTTATCCTATTACTTGTAGACACCCGGTAGGTCCTCTTAACTCCCAATCTGTTTTCCAGAACCATTTTACAAGGTACTTTACAGAATAACAAGGGGGCTGTAGGCCTCAAACAGATGTGTAGACATGTTGCCTGCTTTTCCAGGATTAATTTTTTACGTTGTACCTTTTTATTTTATTCAGCCTGCCTTGACTTTCTTGACTGTTTAGTTCACCAGGAAAGCTCTATAAGTTATGGAACATATGCAGATCCCCATGCTACGGAGACTATGTCTCTGTCTCCAAGGGCAAGCGTGTATGCACATGCACCTGTGTGTGCATGCATGCGTGTGTTTGGGAGTGGAGAATAAAATCTTTAGTGGCCAGTTTTTCTATTTCTGTTACATCTGTGTACTAATTATTTGGGTTCTTTGCTCTTTCCCCAGGTAAAAATGCAGAGGACATTTTTGGAGAGCTCTTTACTCAGGCAAAAACCTTTGCCTCTCGGGTAAGCTCACTTGCTGAGAGGGTCGACCGACTACAAGTTAAAGTCACTCAGCTGGATCCTAAGGAAGAAGAAGGTAAGGAAGCTGAGCTCAGCATTTGCAGGCTCTGCTGAGCAGTTTCTTAGAAATTTTTTTCCTGATTTATAAAGAAAGAGAGGAGTGAAATCACAGAGACCTATAGGATTCTGCTTTGAAATGACACAAGCCTTGGTGGTATAAAGAAACCTTTTTATCTCTACCACACCCCTACACACTCCTTTTCTCCCATTCCCCCAATTCCCTTGTTCTAAGATTTCCTTTTCTTCAGTCATATTTTGCTACCATAAAAGTACTTGGAAGATTCATTCTAAGGAGAGGCCTGCTAGATCTAGCCACATAGTAAACCTTTGTGTTGCTTCATTTTGTTCAGTCGTGAAATGGCTGGGCTGCTGACAGCCTTGTGGGGCTTCCCCAGAGGGGGAGGGAAAAAAAACCTGGCTGCAGACAGCCACAGCCAAGAAACACAGCAGCTGAGGCCTCTCCGACTGGTGTGACTCAGTGTTTGCTCAAATAGCCTGTCGTCCATTTTCTGACGCCTTCCATCTTCTCCCAGTGTCACTCCAAGGAATCAACACCCGAAAGGCCTTCAGAAGCTCTACCATTCAAGACCAGAAGCTTTTTGACAGAGACTCTCTCCCAGTGCCTATCTTAGAAACCTACAGTACCTGTGATACTCCTCCTCCTCTTAATAATCTTACCCCTTACAGGTAATGCCTGGCTAGTGTCTCCTATTTTTTTGACTTGTGTTTAACAATACTAGATTGTCTAAAATGTCTAAAGATGTTTACATCAGAGAATTGTATAAAATAGCTTACTACTTGCCCCAGAATTGCTTTTGTAGCAGCAGAAGCTAGTTTACTCTATAAGCAGTTGTCACTGTTGTTTAGATTCTGAAATTCATCGTGAATATAGTATATATTGAAAGTTTACTTAACTTTGCGCAGGGCAGAATTTAATTTGGGATGAGCCAGGTCCATCTGGATACCATCCAAGCAATTTAACTATGATGGAACCAGAAGGACTTTGTTACAAGGCGATCCTACAGAGTCGATCCCAGGGGCGACTTTCTAGCAAGGCTCCCACTTACTTGGAAGCCACTCGATTACCAGATGTTTGGGCGTGTTAGTGGGGCCAGCCTCACGGACTGCCTACTCTGGGCCCAGAGGGTTCCTTCCAAAGCTTAAGGAGTAATTGGCATTCTTCCAAGTGAGTGTCGTTCACTTTATTTTGAGCATTCTTTCCACACATTTCCATCTGCAGGACCTACCCTGCTGTGGCTGGATTTGAAAAAGAAAGTAACCTGATAGACAAAATCTCTCCCTGCTAGTGGTTTGGTAGTGTTGTCATCTTGTGCAAAACCACTGAACAAGGGCAGAAAGTGAATATTTATCTTGCTTGTATCCATAAATATCTTTGGAACAGGTAAAAAGTAATTAGAGATAGCTAGAAGCAGATGTCTTCTATCAGACAGAGGTATACTGCAAAACAGAGAGAGAGAGAACACACCCCTGTTAAATTCAAGGACACTCGCCTGATTCAGGAGCCTTGACTAGGCACTTGATGGTTTCTCACATAGGTAACAGAGAAAATACATGATGTCTATTCTTTTTTATTACTGTATGACATTATACTTGCCCCTTGGTTTTCAAAGAGGCTAGCAAGTATAGCAGGACAGAGCTTTGACTCTGTACAATGTCCCCCCAGCGCCCAGTAGGGTCTCACTATATTGCCCAGGTTGGCCTTGAACTTCTAGGATCAAGTGTTCCTTCTGCCTCAGCCTACTCAGTAGCTGGGACTCCAGACGTGTGCTGCTGTGTCTGCCTGCCTGCCTCTCATAATCTCCAGCTTTCGGTCTAGTGCAGCTTGTAAAGCAGGACGGGATCACACACCTGATTATTTGTAGGGCATATGATACAGGATTTATATGACAGGGTAAACGAATGATACTGAGAATTTTATTTTTCAGATAATGATATTTTCCCTTTAAATATTTAATCTCAGAATTAGTCTCTCCTCTCAATTATTAGGAGTTGGCCTAACAGACGCAAGCAGTGGTATATCTAGCTCAGAACAAGATTTAATATAAAAATAATTAGTGTTTGATTTGGAAATGCATTCTCTCTGTTGTGATAGGATTGGTGAACAGGGAATAGGATTATTTCTATTTCTGTATAGTTTGGAATAATACTAAAATAAAATTTCAGGGGCTGGGGAATATAGCTTAGAAGCAGGGCAGCTGCCTGGCAAGTGCAAGGTTGTGAGTTCGATTCCTGGTACTACTAAATAAATAAATAAAATTTCACCCCAAAGTACAAGCACATTCTAGATAGTGGGGAGCATGGCCATACCAAAGGGGGGATTCCAGCCAGGATCATTAACCTTGGCCAATAGCCCTTATATTAACACTCAGCTTACTCTGTACTACCGTCATGGTCAGTAAGAGATGGTGATTACACCTTGTGGTTCTGGAAGAGAAGGTCATCTGACAGTGTGGCCCCCTTGTGGATGGGGTGGTGGTAGATGCTGAGCTATTCGATAAGGGAACAAGAAAGTACAGTAAAGTAGTTGTGTGTGTAAGGAGTAGCAGCTGTATACATGCACAGATTGTGTCTGTGTGAATGTACACTTGAGTCACAGGTTTCAGGTGGGTGAAAGGCATCCTTAAGAGTCTTAAGGTGTCCGTAAGAGTCCTGGAGAGTTGGTGGAGGAAGGGGAACCAGTGGTAGAAAACCCCTCTGAGGTGCTGGGATATTCAGATAACCTCAGGAAGCTGTCTGTGGCCATGCAGATCATTAGCAATAATCAGGATTCCTGCTGCTGCTCCTTGGCCATGCAAATTCCTCTATCAGGAATTGAATATAAGGCAAAAGTTCATAAGAGGTAGAGCGGTGCCATTTGGGGGCATTGAAATGCTGGTGTGGGAGAGGAAATACGCAATCGATTCCGCTAACTGGTAAGTATTTGGAATATTGGATTTGGTTGGGAGCACATCTGTCTACTGACAGCTACTTGTCTTCATTTCTATCCCAGGGATGATGGAAAAGAGGCACTCAAATTCTATACCAACCCTTCATACTTCTTTGATCTTTGGAAGGAGAAGATGCTGCAGGACACCAAGGATATCATGAAAGAGAAGAGAAAGCACAGGGTGAGGGGAAAGGGGCCTCTGTTCTACACATCAGTAGGCACGATTGTGGAGGGAGGATAAAAAGGAAGCCAGTCTTATGTGAAGTAATTCTGAGTGGCTGCTTGCTTGGATGCTAGGTAAAACTCTTAAAAAATGTGTCCATACCAAGCACAACCAAGATGAAAGTATAAATCACACCAAAAATGTGTTTGTTCCCCCAGCGCTATTAACAATTGAGTATATTCAGGCTGAGTTTTAGAAATTGACTTTTCTAGTCACCATTTATTTCTCTTGCAATTTACACCTAACTCTGCTGGACACTTGGGCTAGGCAAGTCCCTTCCTTGCCAGTTTTGCAGCTCATTTCTTAGAGACCTGTACAAGGTTCTGTAGTTTGATGTGTAGCAGGAGCAGTTTAACACCTTCACTCCTGGTTGGGTGGGGCCCGGATGGGTGATAGGCCTGGTTTGTGGAGATGCTCGCCTCCCCTCGTGCTCCTGATGCTGTGTCTTGTGTGTGTGACCTAACAGTTTTGACCTCACAATCCCATTAGCATGGCTGCCAGCACACCCAAGAGAGCGCCAGAGGCTAGTGTAGCTGCACAGACTGGGAAATTCTTCATGGTCTTTTTTGTTGTGGTTTTTTTTGTTGTTGTTTTTTTAAAAACTGTTTCCTTATATCTGTCTTAGATGTCCACAGCTGTCATTCTTTTTCGTTTCTTTTGACTGACCTTTCTGGCATAGCAAATAACAAGTAACTGTTTACTAACTTCTTGACTATTAGAGTTGCTTGAAGACTTGAAAGGCTTACCCAGAGAGGGAATGGGTTTCCTATTGCTAGTCTGTGTGAGTGTGGGACTAAGCAAATGTTTTGCCCGGGGGTGGGGGTGGGGGGCGGGCGGGATTTGAGTTAGATGGCTTCTAGGTCACTCCAAACTCAGCAGTTCTATAAGTTCTGCTGTTACCGAACATTGTCTAGGCAAGTCATCTCTTAAATGTGCATCCATGAAGATGGGTGGAATTTCAATGAAGAACTTTGCAGAATATTTTCCAAATATTTTTCTGTTTCTTTTTATTACAGAAAGAAAAGAAAGATAATCCAAATCGAGGAAATGTAAACCCACGTAAAATCAAGACACGTAAAGAAGAATGGGAGAAAATGAAGATGGGACAAGAATTTGTGGAGTCCAAAGAAAAGCTGGGACTTTCTGGGTAGGTGATGATTTTGTACCATCTGTAACATTCTTTAAAAAGGCTGGGGACAAGGGGCCAACAGTGTAATAGCTCTGGCATCTCGCCTTTTGTACCCCTTGAAGTCTGGCTGTGAGGTTTAGATCAATACCACTATTAATCAGCCATTTTTTAGTGCATCCATCTGGTGATTAAAATTTGCTAAATAAATCAAGAGACTCAGCAATTTAAATGAAGTAACTGGAGTGGTCTCATACAGAGGCCCATGGCTTCTAGTGCCCTTACTCTGCCAGGCAAAAGTAAGTGTAAGGGTCTCAGAGGGAAGATTAGAAAAGTGGCCCTAGGAGCCCTTTGCCTCCAAAGCATGTATCTGAAGGTTGTGCCTAAGAGCTGAGCATTTTGAGGGAGTGAGGAAAGCTAGGCAGGAAGAGTGTGCACTTCACTAGAGCGGTTTTTCAGTCAGCCTTTGTCAGTCTTGGAAGAGAGGCTGGCCAAGGGTCTGAATGCAGACCTCAGAGTCAGTGTGGGAAAGGTTGCTTGGCCAGTGTGGGGGCTATATATCTCCATGGGGAAATAGGAGATGTCAGTCTGACCCCATTTCCCAATACCAAATAACATTGGAGGTTTAAAGGGGGAAAATGATTTGGGTTTTTTGTTTTGTCTTTTGAAAATGATTTTAAAGCTTAGTTTGATGCTTATCCTAGTGTCTGACCTGTGTGACATTCAAAGCCAAGTCACTATGACTGCTTGGCATGAATATCACCTGGTTTTTCCCCTAAATATGCGGTGTCTGGGCTATCAGAGAACCACACCAGCCCATGCCTGGTATCTAGGAGTAACAAAAGGAAAGAGTCAACTTGTTCTTGCTTTTAGGAATGAGTCTACCATGAAAATCTTGGCTTTTAAAAATCTTGACACCTCTGACACTTATTCTTCCTGAATTAAGAGATTTATTTTAAAGAGTGATGAAGATAGTGAGAAGGAAAGTGAACTCTTCTTTCTACAGGGAAGTCAGCCCCGAGGGCACCTTTATTCCCTCACCTCCTGGTAAAGGGGGCCATTTTGTCCTATGGTCCTATCCTTTGCAGACAGGCACTGATTGTAGGTTCAGTGGCTCTCAAGCCAGAGATTCACAGGTTCAGAATGCCAGCTGTAGCCAGGCATGATGCCGCACGCCTGTAATCCCAGCACTTGGGAGGCTGAGATAGGAAGATCACTGCAAGTTTGAGGACAACCTTGGTTACATGGTGAGTTCAAGACCAGCCTAACTACATAGCAAGACGCTATACCCCCACCCTCCCCCACAAAATACCAACTGTTTGTTATATGTGCCCTATTTTTGTGGGCTAGGGATGGTAAAGATGAGATGTTTGCTTCTCATTTTCTTGTTGTCCAGGTTGGGCATTGGGCTGCACAGCTAGTCTATGTGGACATGCTTGTTGGTGAACCTATCAAGAGAAGTGCCAAGCCTACAGGGCTCCAGGCATTAGGGATTTTCCACATCAGAGCATCATTTGATTCAGTTAGTTCCCTCCAACTCTGTTCTCCCTGCGATTTGTTTTTGATGAGTTCTTTAGAACCCAGCAATGGTAGAAAGAAGAGGGAGGTAGAGCAAGGCTCATATGGTGTATTTGTGCTCATATGATAGCTTATTGCTAGGTGCATTTGTGCTTGTTTAAAGTTTTGATGTTATTCACCCATAGTAAATTCACCCAAGGCCCAGTGCTCTGAGGGACAGGTTTTTATGAGGCAAGCCTGAACACCCTACTTTAATCGGCAGCTCATTTTGTTTGAGAAGAGAGATCTGGCAGAGAGACCACATTTACTACCACACAGCAACCTGCATTCATCCTTGGCTTGATTTTGCAATCAAATGCCTCCTTGGCCTTTCAGCACTCCAGAGGCTTGCCGACCTCAAAATCAGGCTGCGTGCCAGTCACGTGTACAGCTCCCTAGCCTGTGGGGCTTGGCTTCACCCTTTGCACAAAACAGACTTTGGGAGTCAGGTATAAAGCTGCATCTCACATCTGGGGGAGAATTTAAAAGAACTGCTGGATTTTACAAGGCTGACACTGGAAAAGAAATAGCAAGGTTTTTGATAATCTCAGTTGAATCCCTACAGATAATCCAGCAGAAATGTCTGGGAGATATGTAGAATATTTAGCCCTCAAATGAAATTTCAGTATAGCAGAAAATATATTAGGGATCTCCTTATTTTCTTTCTTCTCATATCTTTTTTTTTTTTTTTGGTACCGAGAATCGAACTCAGGACCTTGCACTTGCCAGGCAGGCGCTTATGCCACTGAGCTACATCCCTGGCCCTCTTCTTGTGGATGTGAAATCCAGCAGTTGTAAATTCTCTTCCAGATGTGAGATGCAGCTTTATACCTGACTCCCCAAGTCTGTCTTGCGCAAAGGGTGAAGCCAAGCCCCACAGGCTAGGGAGCTGTACACGTCTTTTGTGGCAAAATCATTTTTGTGGTATATTTTAAGAAAAGAGGTTCTTTCAGTGACACCTTTTGGCCTTGGATTCCTTGTCAGGTATTCTCCTGCCTTGGTGTACCAGAACGGCAGCATCGGTTCTGTTGAAAATGTGGATGCAGGCAGCTATCCACCACCACCGCAGGCAGACATCGCCTCATCACCTTCTCCTTCCTTCTCTGAGGACAACTTGCCTCCCCCCCCAGCAGAATTCAGGTAAATGGCAGAACCTCTTCCATATGTCTTGGATGGTTAAACACTCACGAACAAAATAAAGAGTTCAAATTCTAGGCCAGGACCACTAAAATAATACCTGAGGCATGTATGCCACTCTACATAATGGAAATAGTTAACATTTATCAAGGTTGCAGGGTGCCAGGTATTGTTCTGAATACTGTTTGTTACTTAATTCCCTCAGGGATACTTTTGAGATAAACACTATTATTATTATCCCCATGTTACAGACAAGTAAATTGAGGCACAGAGAGGTCAGTGAATTTATCTAAGGTCACACAGCCAGCAAAGAGGGAGAGTCAGTCTGATTCCTGGGCCTGTGTTCTTAACTGCTGTATTCTGCTGTCCCTGAACAAATAAAGTCACCAACTTTTTTTCTTTTTTGGTCCAGTACCTGGAATTAAACCCAGGGCCTTTGCATTGAGCGATACCCCTAACCCATTTATTTTTATTTTTTATTTTGAGGCAAGATCTCAGTAAGTCACTGAATTTCCCAGGCTGGACTTAAATTTACAGTGTTCTTGCCTCAGCTTCCCAAAGTGCTGGGATTATTGCCCTGTTCCGTCAGGCCCAGCTTCTTCTTCACTTACCCTTAACTCAGTACGAAGTGACATGGCCTTAGAATGGCAGGCACTTTGTCCTGGATCCAGAACCTTGCAGATCTTCACTTCCCTCTCTGGGTTCATTTCACTGCTGGGTGCACTTTCCAGAAATGGTGAGACCAGGGAAAGGGGGGATGAAATGTAGAACCTGTCTGTTTTGATATCTGTCAGTGTCCCTGGCAGAGGTGTGCAGAGATTGCCTATAATGGCTGGAAAGAGGTCTAAGACTTGTTTGGATTCCAGTGTTTTCTCACAGTTACTCTTTGCCTTTCTGATGCCTGACAAATGAGAGCTTTGAAAGGTGTACTTTTCTCCTTGGACACAGTTGCATTAGTGATGATGTATGCTGAGGCCCCCTCAGACAGAGGCCTAAAGCAGTGCTGTCCTCCCCTCTACCCTCATTCTTCTTGGCCCTTGAAACCACTAATCCCAACTCTCCTTCTGCCTCCCAAATCACTTCCTGCTGGTTGCCCTGTCAGATGCAGCTAAGGCTTCAAGGTCTGTGGAAAATTCCAAGATGGATGCTTTTCTGAGGAATAGCTGTTAGTGTAGGGAAGATACAAAGGTGGAAGAAGGAAACCTTCGGCGTCACACTTAGCTTGAGTCTTGCAGCTGCACCTACACAGCTCTGGTCCCAGGAATAGAGCCTTAATCATCTCTCAAACCTGGGTCAAGAGTTGGTGGCACATGCACTTCCTGTTCTCAGCTCCTCAGATGGAGAAGTCTTCTCAAGTGAAGATGCACACACCTGAATCTGTAGCCCGCTCAGGTTTGGTCGGCTGGTTGTGGGCTTTCTGCCCTCACCACGTCTGTTGAATGTTAATAGCTTGAGAAACACAGCCCAGTGAGTGGATGGTATTTGAATTTTCATTCTTCTTCTCTCTTATATACATTCTTAGTCCTATCTCCAGGCTTAAATTGACAATTGCCCATGGGCAGTTCCTCTAGAGGAGGGTTCAGTGCCTTTCCCTCAAGAGCTAAGTCAGCCGTTGCCTGATAGGGGAATCACAGGTTCACTTCTTCCGGGTAGTTTTCCTCAATTCCTTATTACACTTTGCTGCTGGTGAGCAGCTCATTATTTTATAAAGGTACCCATTTTCTTGTTAGTCTGTTCTGACCATTTCCAGGTCTGTCCTTCTGTTTTTAGCAAAGTGAAATGACAGTCAATCAAGAGATGCCTAAGCTTAGAGATAAGCCTATCTCTGGGTGGGGCTTTGCATCCTGAGAGTGACAGTGGGGTCTCTTTCTTTGCCCTTGTAGCTATCCGGCAGACAACCAAAGAGGATCTGTTCTGGCTGCACCCAAAAGATCCAGTGTGGTCAGCCCAAGCCATCCACCCCCAGCTCCTCCTCTGGGCTCTCCACCAGGTCCCAAACCTGGATTTGCTTCACCACCAGCCCCGCCACCTCCACCTCCCCTGGGGATCCCGCCTCCACCACCAGCTATGGGATTTGGGTCTCCAGAAACCCCTCTGCCACCTTCACCCGCATCTTTTCCACCTCACCCTGATTTTGCTGCCCCTCCACCCCCTCCACCACCACCAGCAGCTGACTACCCAACTCTCCCACCACCTCCCATGTCCCAACCAGCTGGGGGTGTGCCTCCCCCACCGCCTCCCCCACCCCCTCCAGGGCCCCCACCACTGCCCTTCAGTGGTGGGGATGGCCAGCCTGCCGTACCACCACCACCAATTTCTGATGCCACCAAGCCCAAGTCGTCCTTGCCTGCCGTGAGTGATGCCCGTAGCGACCTGCTTTCCGCCATCCGTCAAGGTAAATTCCAGTGTGGGCCTGGAACCATGGAGCCTTACCTTTCTGGAGCTGGGATGACTGACTAGAGGCTGGGAAGAGGGGCTCTGTGCCTCTCCCAGGGAATAGCCTTCATTGAGTGGGGAGATTGGGAATCTTAGGCCTCAGAGCGACCTAAAAGAAGGCTTCACCCTGAGAATACAGTTTGAGATTTCTTTCCACATTGGTCTAAAGATGTCTTAACATGAGATCTTAGAACTCTTGAAAATGTATGCTTTGTATTTATTTGCATGCATTTTCTCCACCTGGGGAAAGAGCCCCATGTTTTATCAGATACTGAAAAAAAATCAGGATCACTGTCCTAGCAGGTCCCGTTCAGCTGGAGTTGGTCATTCTCCACCAGCCTGCCTATTGTATCTTCCCTCCTCCTGCCCTTTTTTCTCCCCGTTTCCCTTACCCCTTTTCATTCAATCCCCTTTTCCTCTTTTCTCCTTTTCCCTTCATTTGTTCCCCTTTCATCCCTCCCTGTGACCGTCTCACCTACCTGAAGCATTTATTCTCTTTTTGACCAGGCCAAGTCTGGTCCCATGGGATTAGAGTAGCTGTTTGTGACACTCAAGAGACTGGTAGTTCTGAGGAGATAGTCCAGAGGTGCTGAACCCCATGACAGTCAGTAGGGCTGTGCAGACTGAGCCCTTGCTGGGTGGGGAGGTGGGTCTCTCCTCACTCAGCCTTGTGAGAAACTGCCATGCAGCAGCCAGAACAGCAGGCTTTAAGCCTTTCAGTCACAGACGGCACCAGGACACCAGTTTCGTAAAACCCATCTTTCCTTCTCTCCCTGTAACTGCTTTTTCCCTTGGCTTTCCTAGAGGAGCCCTCTTTCTCCCTGTCCTTTCCAGTCCTCCTCCAGAGTGGCCGCTTGCCCGTACTCAGTGTTAGATGGACTTTGGCTCAGTATTTGTTTCTCACCCTTTCTCCCTCTCTGCCATCAGGCTTTCAGCTGCGCAGGGTTGAGGAGCAGCGGGAGCAAGAGAAGCACGATGTCGTGGGTAACGACGTGGCCACCATCCTGTCACGTCGCATTGCTGTTGAGTACAGCGACTCAGAAGATGACTCCTCTGAGTTTGATGAAGACGACTGGTCCGATTAACTCTGCCTGCGGCCCACCTCTTTCTACTTTCCTTCCTGCCTGCCTTCTTTGATACCTATCCCAGTAGTCCCACGGGGAGGAAGAGGGAGGAAAGAAGAATTTCCAGGGGCCAAAGCCTTTCCTGAAGCAGCCAAAGACATATCCAAGTGCTTCCTCCAAATGAACATGTTGTTTCCTCTCCCCACTGTCAGGCCCATGGGGTTCCGTAGCTGAGCTGTTCCCTCTTCCTTTCAAGGACTGTTCCATAGTGAAAGGAAGGAAAAACCCCAAAGCAGAGCCCTTTGATAGAGATTTAGTTGGAAATGGTGCCTTCCCTGGGAGCCATTTTCATTTGTGGCCTTTTCCCAAAATCCTTGACCTCTGCAATTTCAAATCATGACCCTCCTTTTCTGGTCCTTCGAGGACACAGCCAGGCTTGGGAGGGCAGCAGGCTCAGTGCCCCCAAGCCAAACTGCCGCGCCCCTCTGCCCCACCCTCCGCCTAATCAACTGGGTGGGGCTGCCTTTTGCTCTGCAGTCTCTCATGCCCTTTACTCCCGGAGGCATCGGGCTCTTAAAGAATGTCTCACCCTCTCTGCCCAGAAGTGATGTCTTCTAAAGGCTGAGGCTGTTGTCTCCTTCCCTGGCTCCCTTTTACTGAGCATGGTGTTCAGGGGTCCTTCAGATGCCCCTCGCTCCCACCCTCCTAGGTGCCTGTAGGCCACACAGCCCAGTTTTAACCTCTGGTATCCATGACCAAACTAGCCCTGGCACATGGACCTGGGCCTCTGCCAGCTGTCAGGAGCAAAGCTTAGAGACTTGGAAGTACAAGACTGAGAGGATGGTGGAACTCCTTGGGCCCCACCTTTTTAAAGATGCCGAGGCCTAGAGATAGGAAGTGACTTGCACAAGGTCACACAGTTGGATAGTGACAGAGCACGAGCCCTGACTTGCTGATTCCAAGTCACCTGTGTTTTCTGGGACCAAATAATGAGCGCCTACTGGAGTCTGGGCAGAGCAGCCTTGGCTCTGTGCTCCTCCAGACTTCCCCATAGGCGGGGGTCCCAGTTGGAGGGCTTCAGCCTGTGCCAGCTCTGCCAGTGCTGCTCAGACCTTTATCGCCTCTCGTAACCCTTTGTTGCCTTCTTCCTATCACCAGCCAGCCATGTGGCCTAGGAGCTGAGCTTCTAGGAGACCAGAAGTAGGAAGAAGAGGGGCCAGGCAGTTTTGACAGATGCTGTTTTCCGTGCCGCCACAGCTCCACCCTCTTTATTTCCCCAATTTAAGCATAGGTTCTGCCAGCTGTAGAAACTTCAGTCCCTCAGGCTGGCAGCTGCCGCAGGTACCTGCCTGGGGGGACCTGGCAGCGTGAAGAGAGCTGAAAGGCTGAGCGACTCAGGGTCCCCTTCTTGTCTCCCCCATCACTGCACATGGTGATGTTAGTCCTCCCTCGACTTTTCCCAGAGCTAATACACAGGTGCTATTATTCAGGAAAAAACTGGTCAGCTCTGGCCAACAGCAAGGTTCCTTCTCTTCTGCCCTAACTATTGTGTAGCCTCTTACGCTGAAATCTGCTTCTCCTGACTTCTCCGGCTTTCAGAGCCTGAAACAAAGAGAAACAAGACCTGTCTACCCAGCACAGCAAATGGTTGTAGTAATTGCCAAAGCCCTTGTAAACCCCTCTGGCTTGAGGAGGGTAACTGTGGGCACTGCTGCCTGCCCTTGTGAATACCTCCCTCTGCCTCCTTCCTTGAACTCGGACATGCGGACTGAGCCTGCAAGTGCCAGCAGGTCCTCCTGCTGTGGCCGCTCTAGAGTGTGCCCTCCTCCCACCCCCTAGGTTGCCACAGGGCTTGGCACCCAGCTTCATGCTGAGCACGCCAGGGTCTCCCACCTGCACTTCCGAAGCTGAAGCTGCCTTCCTCAGAACCCTGAAATGGCTGTTGAAGGTGCCGCAGCTGTGGCTCAGCAGAGGCTGCAGAGGCAGGTGGAGGGCACCCGTTCTCCAAAATAGGAGTCCTGGGGCCTGGCCAGGCCAGGGTTTGGGCCTAATGGGTTTGGCTAAATTACCTCCATCCTCCTTTTTTCCGGAAAATGGGGAGCCAGAGCCACTCACTAACATTTCGCTCTGACCTTGAAAGAGGCAGTGTTGGCCTGGCTTCTGCAATGGACAGAGTCCACCCTGGAAAGGGCTGGGGGCAGGAGGAGGTGGGGAGGGGCTGTGCCTGCGGAAGGTAGGATTAGATCATTAGCTCAGTGACCTCCTAGGGTTTCGATGTGCTGTGTTCTCATCCTACAGCTGGTTTGGTAATGATCTGCAAGTCCCGGAGAGCAACAGCACAGCTCTGCCTAACGCTCTCATTAAAATCCATGCAGCCAAGCTCGGCGCTTTGTAGCAGCCGGCCTTGCGAAGCCGCCTCAGCTCAGGGGGCTGGGGACCCAGTCAGCTGAGAGGCCCTCTGGGCTCTACTATGCATATGTGCACCAAAAAAAAAAAAAAATTTCTTTAAGCCGAGAGCCCTTTAAGATGATAAGAACCCAATGCAGGTAGGCATGTGTTTTGGAATCCTATAGTTGTAGAATGCGAAGTTCAGTGATTATTTTAAACTGGGCTGAGGCTGGAAGGAGAATGGAACAATGGCCCATAAGGGCTCTTAAGCACTGAAGCCGAAGAGCCACCTCCCTTCCTGGCCTGCTCAGCCCAGGGGACCTGCCCCCACAGTACTGTGGCCCAGGGACCCAGTTTCCAATCGGCAGTGTCAGAAGTGACTTGTGGCTTTGCCTCGGTCGTGAGATGATTTCATTCCAGAGGAGTGGGTTGGAGGGGGGGCGTCCCTTGGAGGCTCAGAGCAGCTGGCCCAAGCTCCAGCTCGCTTCTAGTGGAAGCTCGAGCGCCCTCCGAAACGACCCTGGCCAATGTCACCGCAGAGCTGAGGCGGTGTTGTCAGGGCTAATGTGAAATCTCTTCCCGTGGCACCGATCCTCCGGCTCTGCAGCGCCAGCTTGGACAGATTGAGGTCTCTGTGGCTTTGGTGACCCTGCTTAAGCATTCCCACCGTGTCCCTGCTCTGCTCTAGGACTGCCCCCTGCTGCGGCCCCTCGCCTGACCTCGGGGCCTAGGGAGGGAGGCGGGTACGCCAGGGCAAGGCGCTTCTGCTCAGGAGAGATGTCAGCCTTCCTGGGGGCATCAGGCTTTGAGCTCTGCTGGGGTCCGGCTGACCTGGGACCAGATGTTGCACAGAAAAGTGCCTCACTCTGCCTCCTGCCATGTTCGCTGTAACAGTGCCTCAGTGAGGGCCGGGGAACAATTTTGTTACTGTATTAACTTTATTCAGTTAATTCACTTGAGAAACTAACCAATTTTTACTTTCTGTCTAGAATGATGTATGCATAGGAGAGTAAGTCGTAATGCTCCCAAAGTGCCTTGTTTTCTCTGATATAAATATATTTATAAGGACATATTCCAGTGGGTTTTTGGGTGTGTGTGTGCCACATCAGGGTTTTAGGGAGTGAGCAAATCTGCAGTGGGGATATCCCCTGAAAACAGGTCCTCTCCCCAAGGTTGGGACAGGAACTCTTCAGTTAAGAGATCTGATCAATGGGGTTAAGCCAAACCCCTGAAGTGACCTTTTCCTCATCCGCCCTATTCAGACCCTCAGGAAGACATCCAGTTTCCTAAAGCCCTGCAGCACCAAACCCGGTCTCATTTGCTTGCCTGCTGGTCCTATGTGTACCACTTTCGTACCCCAGTGACCCAAAGTTCCGTGTAACTGTTCTACATATGCACATGAACACTGAAATGCCAACATTTTCAGTAATTTGATAAAACCTCTGTAGCCACTCAGCCACCTCTGGTGTGTGTGTGTGTGTGAGAGTGTGTATTTTCCACTGGAGTTAGAAGGGCAATTAACAGCCACTGACGATGGGGCGATAGAGCTGGGCTCAGCCCGGTGGGCTTGGAGGGCAGGAGGCTCCCGGCTGGAGATTCAGGCTGGGGGACACAAGGCCCGAGTCCCACGTGTGCCCACCGCAGGAAGGGCGTGTGCGGGCTGGGGGACGGGCTGTCTTGCGCCAGGCGGGAAGGGAGCACAGGCTGAATGCTGATGCTGCCTCCCAACATCTGGCCGGCATCTTGTCTGCCTCTCAGGCCCAAGCAACTTACCTTAAATAGAACGATTTACAATGGAATCCGATAAAAGGTTCAGGCTGCTGCACGCCCCCTCTCCTGCCTGGAGAAGGCAGGGGGGCTGGGTTTAAAATCTGACCCAAAAAAGTGACCTACCCAGGAAGCAACGGTTGTTCGGAGCACAGCTGCTGCGGGTAACTGTCCCTGGGGGTGATTTATGAGCAGACACCCAATTCCGGGCCCAGCAGACACAGCGGGGTGGCCCTCGGGAGAGGGGTGGGAGCAGGGTTGGTGACCGTGGGTCACGCCTGCTGTGCCGGGAGACCGTCACCCACTGGCATCCCAGGAGAGGGGGCAGAAGTTTTGAATTGTCAGCAACTGCTGCGCCAGCCACACTGAGCTCATCGTTGGAGGTGGGGATGCAGGGGAGGGGGCGCGGGGCCTGATCGCCCCGCAGAGCCCCTCCGCCCCACCCTCCTGCTCAGGCCTGTGTTTAGTCAGCACTTGGCTGCCCGAGGCCGGTGACTGACAGGCAGCCAGACGCCCGCCCTGGCAGAAGACAAAATGGTGGTGTCGGGAGCCGCCCTTGCTAGGGAATTGGAGGGAAGGAATGTGGTTCTGGGAAGCAAAACGCCTGTGCTGGGATTCTGGCAATACCACTTGGGAGCCGTGACCCTGTGCATGTCTCTTCACCTCTTTGGGCTGGTCCTGGGAATGCACATTGGTTGAGCGCCCACTACCTGCCAAAGGCTGCATGTGCTTCAGAGTGTGAAGAGTCAGGGGTCCTCAGTTTCACACAAGAGAAAAACGCGGAGGTCTGAGATCACATCGCCCGCTGGCCAGAAGCAGCCCGTGCCTTGTCCACTATTCGATTCACGCAGCTTAACAGCCTTCATCTCTCCCCTCGGTCCTTCCCGTGGTAGGGGCCTGTGCGGGTGTCTGTGGCCTCAGCCCCTGGTGCCTGGTTTTACAGAAGCAGTAACAGGTGGGGGTTACTTTTGCTCTTTGAAACCAAGCAAACTCCACTGCAGGCCTTAGACTTTGGGAGGGGAAGTAGCCTTCGCCCGCAGCTACCTGGGAACAAAGCAAACTCCAGAGTCGTGGGCTAGGGCTTCACACAGACTCACCCTACCCAGTACACACTCCAGTGGATGCTCATTTATGCATATTTGTGTGCACATGCGGTGTGTGTGAGTGGCACGCTACCCAGGCTCAGGGACACATTGTGCACAGACACTGCTCTTGTGTAAACAAGGACACAAATCAGCATACAGTTACAGGAACACATAATTGCAGGCAAACCTCACACAAAGTCCTCCAGCCGCCCCTCCCTGCTCGCTGCCTCCGCCAGTTGCTCACTGCCCCCTCCTGGCCGCCCGGTGGCCAGGGCAACCTGGCACCATTTCCTGAAGTTCTGTGGGAGGTGGTTGGCAGCCAGCTCCCTCCAGTCTAGGGTTAGGAGCAGCTTTAAGTGCTTCCCTAAAGCCCCAGGGGTTGGGGGTCTGGAGGGGGATTGTAAATTTAAGGACAGAACACCCTTTAATGTCCCAGGGAATTTTTCAAAGAATTTTAGGTCTTGTGTGAGGAGTGCAGGTGGGATATGGGGCACAGATACCGGCTCCAGCCAGCAGCCACCCGTGGGCCGCGCAGGGAGCCCTGCGCGCGTGTGCTTGTGCTGTCACACACCTCACGGAAAACCAGACTTGCCTGAGGTTAAAGGCAGACTCTTTTCACTCCACCTTGCTGTTCCTTCTCTAGGCCTTGGCTTTCTCAACCTGTTGAGCAGGGAGTTGGCACGACGACGGGAGGGGCCCCTCCACCCTAGCGTCTCACCATCTTGGGAGCTGACACCACACTCACACATGTATGTCTGAGTAGAGCACAACCAGGAATGTGGCTGTGGACTCTTCGGGACAGATGTGGAAAGACTGCCAATAAGGCCTTTTATTCTTTACAGATGAAGACATAAGACACAGAAAGGCACAGCAACTTGCCCAGAGTAACCCAGTAAGCTAGCAGTAGACGTGGAAGTAAAAATCTTTCTCATACCCCAGATAACAAAATATCTGGGCTTGGGCCCAGAGCCGAGGGGACGAGCTATAAGGGCTAACACCAGGGCCTCTGCTCCTCGGTCTGCCGAGACCTCTTGCAGTCTCTGTGGCTGCCTGAAGGCTTGGGAGTTGCCCAGAGGAGATCCAGGCCTGGGCATTCAACAGGGCTAGGGATATAGCTCAGTGGCATAAGTGCCTGCTTGGCGGCACAAGGTCCTGTGTTTGATTCCCAGTACCAGAAAAAAAAAAGGCAACTTAGCACCTGGATGGACTCTTCCACTTCCTAGCCCCACCGACAGACTGAGAAAACACCCAGCTTGCTTGTTTATTTTTGTGAGTGTGTGTGTGGTATCAGGGATTGAATTCAGGGCCCTCACACTGAGCTACACTCATAGCCCTTTTAATCTTTTTTTTGTTTGTTTTTGTTTTTGTTTTTCTCCGGTACCGGGAACCGAACTCACAACCTTGCGCTTGCCAGGCAGGCGCTTTGCCGCTGAGCTAAATCCCCAGCCCCTCATAGCCCTTTTAAATTTTTTAAATACTGAGACAAGATTTCCCTTGGTTGCTCAGCTGCCAGGCTGAACTCAAATCCTCCTGCCTCAGCCTCCCAGAGTGCTGGGACTATGGCATATACCACTACACCTGGCTACCTCCACTTGCTTTTATACAAAGCCGAAAGCAGACTAAAGGGGCTTCTCCCAAGCCCGTGGCCACCTAGTGGCTCATTCATCAAGATATGTACATACATGAGTGATGAATACATGTGTCTGGACTGCATGTGTGTGCACTCACACCTGTGGAAGTGTTTGTGCATGCCTACAAGGACACCTAGGGTATCCATAGGCATGTATAGCATGTATGTTGATGTGTTTGCAAGTGTGTACACATGTGACCACGCATGTGTGGTTGTGTTTGTGTGTGGTGTTCTTTTTCCATTTATTTATTTGATACTGAGGATTGAGGCTTGTACATGATTAAGCATTTGCTGTGCCACTGGAGCGCCTCTAGCCCCTGTGTGTGTCCGGTTGTCTGACAGATGACTTAGTGCACATGTAAGATTTTGCTTGAGTACATGCCTGGGGTGTCCACTGAGTGTGTTTGGGTATGTGCAAATGCTCGTGTGCACTGGTGTGTGGAGGGGTGAAACATGGCCACACGAGTGGTGAGTGTGCATGTGTGCATGCAGGAACAGCTTTCTGTGGCAGTACACATGAATCATAGCAATGTCTCCCTTCCCAGGAGAGCGTGATGGCAGTGTCCCCCCAAACCTGGTGTATGGGGTGCTTTGCCTGACTCCACAGCACCCGCACCCTCCCCCCATGTGCACACAATTCCCTAGACCCACGTTGCTCGGCCAATTTGCAGCCTCATTCTCCCAGCTCCCCAGAAGGCCTGCAGCAAAGTCAAGGGACTGGTGGCCAATTAGTGAAGGGGTTAATCAAGGATCTGGGGACCCCGGGGGGTGGGAAGCTGAAGGCGGCTGTGGCCTTGGCAGGAACTTGAGCTGTCTCTCTGTCATGAGGCTGGGGGAGGGGAAAGAGGGATGGGAGGCTGAGCCAGCCTGTTGGTGCTGGAAATCTATGGTTGGCAGGTGGATTCATGATTGCTAAGTACTGACAACAGCAGGGAGCATGTGTGCGCGTGTGTATACTGTGTGGGCAACGGCATGTGCATGTGTGCAGGTCCCTGAAGATGGGCCTGCATGCAGCCGTGTATACATGACTATGGATACCACTTGTGCAGGTTTGTAGCTGTGTATATGTGGGTGTGCAATGGTATGCAGATGGGTTTGCTTATGCAAGCATGTCTGGGTTGGTGTGCAAGTGTGAGTCTGTATAACGTATGTAAGAGCATGCACAAACATTTAAGTATGTGTTCCAGCATGCACTCATGTGCACATAAAGTTGATGTCTGTGTACACATGTGTGACAATATACCTGTGGGCATGAATGTACATGCAGTAGCGTGCAGATGTATCTGGGTCTACATGCATGTCTGTGTTGTCTGAACAGCCCCCACTGACCCCACATGTGTGTGCCTGTGTGTCCCCACATGCACGTGCCCTTGTGCTCACAGGTCTCAGCATGAAAGGAGCTGAGGGTATGGGGCTGGCAGGCTCCAGGCTCCAGGAGGGAATCTGACAGACGAGCCTTGCCGCAGCCCCCGGCCCCGGGAGCCTGTTTTCCAGCCTGCAGAAGCTGCGAGCCCGTGAACTCATCTTATATTAATAGCTGCTGTCTCCACACTTATTGCAGGGAGAGGCGGTCATGGCCCCGGTGGGGGCTTGGAGCTTGGGGCTGCTCCACCTCACCACGCAGGACCAGAGGAGAAGGGAGGGGGACAGACCCCAGTCCCATCCCAGGGCTTAGCCCTGTGGGAAAGGAGCCCTGCCTCCCCCAATTCAGGGATCCTGCTGCCCAGCTGCTTCTCCTGGGCCTCTCGCTGGGTGGGATCAGGCATCAGGGTTGGAAAGCTGGCAGAGGCCAAGAGAGGCTACCCCTCCCCAAACACACACACACACACACACACACACACACACACACACACACTCTGCACATGACATGCAGAGTAGCCCTGGGCTGAGCACCAAAGAAGTCTGAGGCTGAAGGAGACATAGCTGCAGAATGTGGGGGGACAAGAGAGTTTGCCCGCAGGGGCCCTCATGTT